CTGACAATTTTCGCGCAAACCGTTTTCGTTAGCCACTGCTCGCCTAAGGGTTCAGATGGTGCCGGAAGTAGGATCGCTCTCGTTATGGGCCCACCGGGAAACAGCCTACCTGAATGGCAACCGTAGCGGCGCCTGATTCAGCACCGCCTGCAGCTGGCCTTTCAACCTGTATGCCGCTTTCTGTGCGGGCAACCGGGCGGTCTCCCTNTCAGCACCGCCTGCAGCTGGCCTTTCAACCTGTATGCCGCTTTCTGTGCGGGCAACCGGGCGGTCTCCCTTATCGTCGTGCGTCTGGGTGCCTAGTGATGAAAAGTTTGAAGAGCCATTTTTGTGCTTTGGAGTCGTGCTTCTGGACCGTGCGGCGCTGACGTTTCTAAGACGACGCCGGAGCACATTCACAGCGCACATAAAAAAGTGGCCTAGTAAAGAGTCAGAGCGTGGCCTTTGTTTTGAAGTGCTGCCTGTCTGGCCCGAAACCTACTTCTGCAGCTTACTTGGCAAGACCTAGAGGCCGTCTGGGAACTCTTGGCCCCAGGCGAGTTGATGGCGCGTTTGAAATCTGCTTTGGTCCCCCAGCTAGGCTTCGATTTCTCTTGTGCTCCTTCTCGACTGTTAAACATGTACCCCTAGCTGTGCCTCTGCTTTGCTGGGTACGTTGCCAGCCTACTTCCTCTAGGATATTGCAAGCTGCAGCGGCAGCGGCAGCAGCAGCTACGGATAGTGTCGCTCCTGCAATTGCTTGAGGGCAACTGCAGTTTGGGGGCCAGTGCAGGGGTATGCCATGATAGGCAGAAGTGGCGCCACGCGATGAGAGATGACTTAGGTCCACTTCTTCGGTTTTTGAAGCATCCTACAGTGCAGGCGATAGCACAGAAACTGAAATTCATAAAATTTGGCTTCTATAGTTCACTTTTCTCAAAGGCAACGTTCGATACTATATGCGTAAGCCTCAGGTAGTGGTATCATCAGACAGTTACCTGGGTAGAGTACTACGCATGACGACATTTAGCTGATGCGCCCTACCTGCTTGTTTTGGGGCGTGATGGACAAACAGGGTGGGGCCAACGGAAAAGTAGATGGGAACTGGTCGCACTTATGCAGAGGAACTTGAGCTGACTGCGATAAGCGCGTGCTTTCCGTCTGTATGGCTGTGTTTACTGCAGGAGGCCTCTGGGGTGTCGCCAAGCTCGCAGAAGGTATTCCGCGCACGTGGCCTCGTTGATGGGGCAGCTGGTGTTCTTGTTGCTGTGAGCTGGGCTGGTTGGCTACCGATTGCTTAGGTCTATGTGGACTTTCCAGCTGTCTCGCCCTCACCACGGGGATGGGAGCAACTTGATGCACCACTCCCTGGGGACCCCACACGGGGACGAAAGTTGAAGCTCCCCGTAGAGTGTGAACCCAAGAGGTGGGAAGGGTTCCACAGGATTTTAAAAAGGGGGCTGCCAACAGACCCAACCTCTTGTGTCGAAATTGCCCGGGGCGGGCGCTGAGGGGAGATACTGTAGGGAAGTCAGGACGGCTTGCAGAAGATGCACGACCCAGTGCACATCGAGGCGCTGGGCCGGAACAGCTACTAGAGATGTTTGAAGCGATTTTGCATTGGGCTGGATGTTGAATGCCAGTGTGTAGAAGGGAAGGAGGCGAATGCTTTGTCGCAGCTTCGCTAGATACTGCCGTCAAAACCCTCGGCGTGGAAGGAGACTGACCCATCGTTCTTCGTTGCTGCGGTTCTGTTGCTGGTGAGGAAGAGGTGATATCTTCCTCGGGAGCGGTAGGTGAATTTTCTTGGCTGGAGCAACAATTAGCCTTCGACTTCCTAATAGTAGGTACAATGGAGCAACATGTCGTATTGCTGTTGCTGCCACTCCACCTTGCTTGCCGCGAATCTGTCTTACTGGCATTCATACATCGAAAGGGCATATTACATGCTTGTTCCTGTGGCATTGTTGGCTGAGATGGTGGGTCTGCCAGAAGCTGGTGTGCATGATTCCGTCGTCGATTTATCGTCATATTCCTTGGGCAACACGGGTAGACTGGAACAGCAGGCTGCTGCTTGGTGNCCGTCGTCGATTTATCGTCATATTCCTTGGGCAACACGGGTAGACTGGAACAGCAGGCTGCTGCTTGGTGACAGAGGTCGACGGGCCTGTCCTGGCTGCAGCAAAAGCTTGCTCTGGTGCTGCTTGAATGATTCCTGATGGTGAAGGTGCAGAGTGCTGCCCTTCTGGACGAGTACGTGCAGTATCATCACAGTTAAGGGCTGGACAAAGTGGCTTCGTGTTGGTGCCCTGCGTGCGCTGCTGGCAAGGCCAATACGTATCTTCCCGTGGAGGTGAAATCGTTGCAGCTCCTTGAGCTGCGCAGCTGCAGCAGCCATGGTGGTTTAGATTGAAATTCCTGTGACAACAGCAGCAACCTTTGCAGCCAACGTAGACGGCGCAGCGTGTGCAGGCGCTGCAGCAACATTTAGGAATTTCGGTCTCTTCCGGCGTGGCGGAAGGCCTATATCCAGAGGATTGTGCACGATTTTCCTCGGCCTGCCACTTCGGGTCTATCTCGTTCTCTGTGGCACAATGGACTGCACACTCATGTACTGTTCTGCGNCGGCCTGCCACTTCGGGTCTATCTCGTTCTCTGTGGCACAATGGACTGCACACTCATGTACTGTTCTGCGAGCGTTTCAGCACTGAGGGGGGTTGTTTGTGCTTGATACTCGGTGGGTGGTGCCAAGTGCAAAAGTTCTTTTTCGAGAAAAAAATCACGTGGTTGCTGATTTACTCTGAGCGATTTTCTCCGCAAGGCCTGTGGTTTTCTCTTCAGAAGCCGCCGTGGCTTTACGAGTTTTCTGTGCAAAATCCCGGATAGACTTATCAGGGTCAAGGGAAGTTGCTTGTTGGTCAGTCCTGCATTTGTTGGCCTGAGAACTTTGTCGCGCTGGAGTATCTTTTGTCGACAATAGCTTCTCCGCTGGGCGAAGGTCCGTCAAAGGCGGATGCGATGCGTTTTCCAGTCCCTTGTTTCTCTCTTCTTTCTGCTCACAGCAATTAGCTTCATCAATCAAGAGGCATTCATATTCCTGTTGCCTTTCTAAATCTTGCCCCTTTTTTGGCGTTGAAGCAGAAGAACACCCACTAATTTTTTGTAGTTGGGGATGAACCCTTCAAACTTACCAAGTGATGCGGAGCAGACAGACGCTCCGAATGCGCTGGCAATTCGAAAACAAGGTGCGCTTCATCTACACACAGCAAACAAATGCATTACGAGTCACGTGATTCCACCACCTAGAGTGCCCTGCAGTATCTAGAGGAAGCTCCTCAATAAGCAAGTGTACCGGCGTTTTACTCTTCCAGGGGGTCGAACGCCATCTACTTCTACCCACCAGATGATGCAAACATAAGGGTATCGCCATTTTCTATCTGGTGCCAAACATGAGGCTCAAGCCGACGGTTATTAAGCCATGTTCCTAAAGCACCCAGTAAGGCACAGAATTGCAGTATCGGAGTACGCGAATGCATTCCGTCTCGTTTATCTGTAGCCATTATCAATCTAAACTGTGTCATGTTTTGCTTGTCACATCGGTTGCGCGAACTGTACATTGCGCTGCATGTAGTTGCATTTGGTGTACCGTTCAGTGACGCCAAGTCCTTAACAAACGCTTTTCGGCCGGCGCCTCTATTGCCGAGGCCGCAGCTAGATGCAGAGTCTTCGCCTTTGCGACAGAGAACACATTAACGAGATGAGAAAATGGTGCTTTGGAGTGCGGTTCAGTATGTCTCGAAGCCTGCCAAGCTGGCGTCTAGTAGGAACTTGTAGCCAAGCCAGACCGTCATCACTGGCAACAGGGTGATCAAAGCTCGTGTCTCCTTAGTATGAATATATGGCCTACCGTGATCGAGCTGTTGTAAACCCGTCAGGTCGAAGGCAGCATGAAATCGAGATATTCCGGCGCAGCGTATGGTGATGTCGCAGCTCCGCGCCCTACCTAGATGGAGCAAGGGGTGCTCAAGCTGGTACAGGATGCGCCTCCCACGCAGAAATGCCAGCGCTCTTGGGCTATCTTTTGGTTGTGTCATCCCTAAAGGCTAGTCTTGCCGTGCTACATATGCCTTTGTCGTGAAAGGTTCTTACGTCTGCAGTGTTCGTTATTGGGAAAGAACGGAAGAGGTTCGTTCAGTTATTATATTTCAAGCACTCCTAAATTCTCACTTGCTTTGGGTTCTATGAGTCAGATGCAAATATCAAAGTTGCTTTTCCACTAAGCTCNCCTAAATTCTCACTTGCTTTGGGTTCTATGAGTCAGATGCAAATATCAAAGTTGCTTTTCCACTAAGCTCGAGGTCACATACAGTTCGCATGTCACATGGAGACCGCTGCACTGGTCCTCCGACGGGCCAGAAGCAGCATGGACTCAAGAATATTCCCTATTCTAATCCAAATTTTCTAAGTGATGCTTCAGGAAGGTTGATGCGGGGACGAAGATACTGCAGAATGCGCCTGCGGGCTTCGAATTAGCCCAGATTCATAGTGCTGGCCGCATCAAGCTCGAAAGCTAGCAGCTTCCCCAAACATTTCCCTTTGCTGCATGCATCCATGTTCAATAAGCAAGTGAGGAACCAGAAGAAGCCCCTCCTGCTCACACGCAGATCTGTGCAAGATGCAGCTCTAGTTCCGGTGATCTAACCGCCGGCGTCAAGAGCGCGTTGGTGTTGGAGAAGGGACCCGATATTATAGAAAATTTTCACTAGCTTCTTTGAGAGAAACAACCCATTCATGGTTAAAATATGGTAAGATCCCAGTCATCATGCACTGTTTTCCTATGGTCGCCTAAGCTGTCGGTAGAAACGCAATGTGCAGCGGCAGCCCTCACCAGCGCAGGCCAGGTTGCTCCAGTCCGGGGAATGATGTGTGTAGGAGCCTGTCGGCTGCGCGTCTCCCGAAGTTAAAAAAAACAGCATTTTTTGTAGTTTGATTCTGGATGTGCAAAGGTTTCGCCTATTTGAATGCCTGCTTATGGCCACAACTTCAGGTCGTGCTTTGGTGAGGCACCGTAGTGACTACCCTGCCGCCGTCGGCCGTCTGGAGGCTTTCAGGTCGAGGATTCCTCAGCTCTGCGCTGATAACTTTACCAACAGAAGATATTTGTGAGCAAGTGGAGAAATTCCAGGAGCCTTCGAGAAGGGGAAAGCTTGGCGAGTTCTCGCGCGTTTCGCTACAGTCTCGATGCCCGGACGAACTCAAGTTTCCTGGCTTGCCCGCTTGTAAGCGTTTTTGCCTGCTCTGTCTTTCATACTTTCTTTTATAAAACGTGCCTTAAGGAGAATTCGCATGGGCAAACGGTATAGCCTGTCTTAGGATCGCCGTGCAGGCCTCTGCCGCATGGCGCAGTTGCTTGTGCTAATAATAACTGACGCAGTTGAGAAGTTGCGTCAATCTAAGTAAGGACAGCATGAACAGATCCGTGAGCATCTCATCTTCCGATAGTGGGAGAGGGCATAAGGCAGACTCGCAAGTGAACCCTTCCCTTTCGGCTGGGACTGCTCGCCAAGTGAACTTGACGCTAAACAGAGGGAGGGCGGAAGCGGTTGGTGGGGGACCTGGGCGTTTATCTTCACAGAAGTTTGAGCATTCCAACGTATCACCTTTGCTGGCTTCTCAGATTGTGTCTTCACCGGCCTTAGGAAAGCCTTGTGCGCCGGCTTCTTCGAGTACGATGACAACTCCGCTTCGACAGGAGGGATTGACCCTCAACTCCTCAGCGGGACGAGATCAAAGGGAGGGAAACCCGCTTTCCTTCTCCCGAGTGCAGGCGGCTGGGGGAGCACAGGGGTCCCTCGGGAAAGAGCCAGACTACTGGTCATACANTTCTCCCGAGTGCAGGCGGCTGGGGGAGCACAGGGGTCCCTCGGGAAAGAGCCAGACTACTGGTCATACACTCCACCATCGCCCCCAAGCGCGGCGCACCGTGCTTTCTCGTCCTGCTCCAAATACGATATGCAATCCGAATATTTAAAAGCTGCGTCTTTGAGTGGCAGCGGAAGAGCCGGAATGACTGGCAACGTTGACCGCATGTTGAGCACCAGCCACTCTTCCGCCGACAAGAAGGCAGGTCCTCCCGTCTCGGCAAGCGTACGTCAGGAGGAAGCTGACCTCAATGATGGAAGAGAGCCTGAGGAAGAGGAACAACCACAAGATGATGCAGAGTGGCAGGAATATGAGGGGGGAGCAGAACAGAGGGACTGCACCGATGGCCTCGCAGAGGCAGTATGGGATAAGCGAATTCCCCAAACTTCGACACAGTACCCTATTTGCTCGCGAACGCCTAGAGTAAGTCGTTCGTCCCTGCTTCTCGATGCCACTACACTGCAGCCGCACATTAGAACCCGTGTAACCTGCAGCCTCCAGGAATGAAGTCATGGGGAGAGGGAAACGTTGTTCTTGCATGAGGAACTCGGGCTTGAGTACAGGAAAGACCTTCGAGTGTTTGTTTTTGCTGTACCCAACAGGAACGCTGTGCCTACACAACAANTGAGTACAGGAAAGACCTTCGAGTGTTTGTTTTTGCTGTACCCAACAGGAACGCTGTGCCTACACAACAAGTGATGATTGGGCGATTTTTGCCCTTCATAATCAATATGTCCGTCCCCTGAGGGACCGCGAATGGGTCGCTGGAGAGCCGTGCATCATCCGCAAGAATTCCTTTGAGCTGCCGCCGGGCGCCTGTAAGTCCCAAGTTGTCGCTTGAAATAGAATTAGCACAAATACGTTCTATGAGAAGTGATTCTCCTCTTTTACGGTGTTTGTGAAAGCTCGATGTTTGCTTTGTAGATTTCCCCTTGCACTGTCCTCTTTCTTGTTTTATGTGGCGCTGCAGACCGTTACTCAGAAAGCACCTGTGGCATACCTGCCACTGCGTTCGATAGATTCGTATTCCCCAACCCGCCACGGCAGTTCCTCATGGCCGCTCGAGGAAGGTCCTCCGGCAACGTAGATTTTGCACCTCCCTCCTCCTATTTCAGGATGGGCACCCAACGAAGCGGAACTCGTGGACGCCGTCCTCAGCTAACGCAGCAACAGCTGCTCGACCTAGAGAGGTGCGACGCAGCAGCAGTTGTTGGCTTCCATGNCCTCAGCTAACGCAGCAACAGCTGCTCGACCTAGAGAGGTGCGACGCAGCAGCAGTTGTTGGCTTCCATGATTCCACCGGCCGCCCAAACGCGGTGAAGGGCGATTCGCAGGTATCGATTAGCTTTTAATCATACGAATTGTTTTGTCTCATCTAAAGCGTTGTAGGCCTTCTATGGATGCGTGCTCTCAGAATGTTATGGTTTGATCCGGAGCCGCGACTAGAGAGGCCGTTCCGACTATACGCTGACTCGAAGACATGTCTTAAGGTATGGCTTTTCTATTTTCAGCACACCAAACACACCTTCACGCAGTGGCGGACAAATGCTACGAGATAACTCGCAGTACGAAGTCACAGCGCCGCAGAATCTGTGCTTGAATGCTTAGTTACCCATTTCTTGCATATGTACTGCTTCAGGGCCGCCTTCATGACATCGGTCATATAATGAGGAGCGGCTGGTAACTCCGAAAACCTGGAACTCATCAGCTGCGTTTTGGGAGGCAAGGGATATGCCTCTGCCGGTTACGGACTATGCATACCATCAAATGTTTTAGCATTTCCTGTGACTATTACACCAGGAACTTTGGCGTTATTCGCCGAGCATAGAAGTTTTAGGGCTTTCTATAAACTAACTAAACTTCCTTGTTTATTTATTATAAAGCTTTTGTAGCTCATCTTGCGTAAACTGCAGGATAGACCGAGCAGAACGTTACGGCCAAAGCGGTACAAAAATTAATGAGCCACATATACTCTTACGAGGCTTACTAGTGCGTAGTTAAAAGAGAAGGTGATTTCAAACTGCATCCGACTCCATAGAGAGGTGAAATATAAGTTGCAGTCGTTTAAATACTGGGGTGCCGTATGGCTCGTACGCTAATCGTCCCGCGACTCGAACAAAATCGCAGCACAGGCGATCCACTGGCATTCAGTGAAGGGCTCTCTCAGCAATTTTGCAGATTAGTTACTATGAATTAAAGTATGCTGTTGTAGTTGGCTCACTTTTTCCGTCTAGTATGTTACGCTGTCACGTTTTGCCGAAGACATGGCAAGGCGCAGTGGAAAGCTCCTCCTTTTCCCGCGTCACCACCTCCTAAAGCTACAATTCATTGTATTCTCACTTATAAAATGCCGTTTTAGTGAGCCATCCCGCAGAATAAGCACCGGGCAGTCTTCTACACATGGTCGTCTGCAGTGCTGACGAAACGGTCCGCGNCATCCCGCAGAATAAGCACCGGGCAGTCTTCTACACATGGTCGTCTGCAGTGCTGACGAAACGGTCCGCGGGCGAATCGAGATTGGGCTCGATCTGCAGGTTGGGTCTGATAGGGATGCATGTCTCTCTTTGCTTGTATTTTCTGCGTCACTGTTGGTTTTCCTCTTGAATTTAACTCATGTCCCGTAGATAAGCTCCCAATCAAAGCCTGCATTTGGGGCGACGGTGTTGCAGCCTGGCATGACTTGCAGCTAGCAACGGCCTCCCCGTTCCCCTTACTATTCTCCCTGGCTATTCTTCACACTACAATGCTTTATAAAACTTGAGGAGATGCTGAACGACACAAACATTAATGATATAAATCGTTGAGGAGCCGCTATGCCACCAGGGGCGGCGCCGAAACCAGCCGCAGGCCAGGTCCAGCTGGGCTTCCGAAGACCACCTACGTTCTGCGTTTACTTAAAGCCTCAAGGAGAAGAAGCTGTTATCTACCCATGAGTGCGACCTGAAGAGTGACTCGTTACCTCAAATGAGGCACGATTCACCGTGACCTGCATCTGTGATGGGCGATTGCTCTCGCGGAGCACCGTTCAACTTGCCGATGCTGTTCAACAGGGTCTATAAGCCCAGCACTCCTTGGTCCTTATTCCAATTTTAAGGGGCTGTTCAACACCTTCTATATGCCCCGTAATACTTGAAGGCAACGGCGGTTACTGATACAGCGTCACCGGGGTCCTAGAAACACTGCATGCAGCAGAGGGCAGTGCAAAACGAATACAAGGATGGAGGGCTACGGCAACAATGAACGCTTCCCCCGCGGTTTAAACCCTCTCCCTTCTTCGACTCCCACGCAGGTGAAAGGCGACAGCGAACTGCCACCACCCTCCCATGCACAAGCCAATCCTGGTGCGTCAGGCCAGTTGACCGGGGAGCCGTCAGGAGCAGATTTTTCGAGAGCTGCGGTTAGAAGAAGAGCAACAGAATCACGTTGCAAAGGTCAGCGTGTAGGGGCATCTTCACTTGAGTTGACGGCTCCGAAACAACGCCCGGCCACCCGATCCTCTTCCACTTTTCGGGGAGGTACCGGAAACTACCGAGCGTATCAAGCGCCACCAGCAGTTCGCGAAGGTGCCAAGTATGAGGGCTCCCGAGAGGTTGCAAGGCCCTTGTCTGTTGGGCCGTCCGTCCGACGATCGCAAGTAACCGCCAGCCGCCCTACTCATGCATCCAGTGTGAACATTGGGGAACAGAGGCGTCTGGAGCGTCAACAGCGGCAGGTGGTGCAATTCANCATGCATCCAGTGTGAACATTGGGGAACAGAGGCGTCTGGAGCGTCAACAGCGGCAGGTGGTGCAATTCAGATTGCATAGTGACAAGATCACCAAAGTTTCAAGAAGCCCGTCAAATGCTGTACGTGGTCCGTCTCCGCCGGATGGACCAGCTGGCTCGGTGATCCCCTCAGAAGCACATAAATATTCTGCCCCAGATGCCTCTGCAGATCCAGACCTCTCGCATCTTCAAAAACGTCGCACATGGGTACTGCTGCAACACCTTGTGGATCAGCTGGAGAAGGACGGGCGACCTGATGATCTTCTCCAACGTCCAGAACTCCTGCAGAAGCTGTTGCGTGTCGTTATGCCGCTAGTTCCCCTTAGAGATGCTCTCGGAAAGTTTGCTGCCGACAGCAGAACGACAAACACCGCTGGTCTGCAAGGCCCCGTCGATGAGAGGGATTACTCCCCCAACCGCATGGCCCAACGGCCTTCCGCAAGGCCTGTTTCTACCGCATGCTTCCGGTCAATGCATGCAAATGCTCCAACACGCAGTGCAGAGAATCGTTTGCGCCCGGCTTTGCACCACAACTCACGGGCAAGCCCAACGAGGACACTTTCCGCCTCTGCATCTCGGGGAGTGGTGCAGGCGCCGAGGGGATGGAGCGAGGATAATCCTGTAGCTTCGCGACCAGGTGTACAGTACCCTGGCTTCCCTATCGATGCATCCCGAAATGCGTTTAATGGCTCGTCGAAGGATCGCGATTCTAGGCGCGCTCCCTCTACAAGAGTCCGCGCTGTTCCGAAACGTGATGTGGGAAATTCTGCTGAACCGGGAGGACTCGTGGCACCGTTGCGCTGGTATGATAAACCTCGGCCGGTGCGTTCAGTTAGCACGGGGAATTCATATATGCACGTTGCTTCGCGGCTACCCCAGGGTGCTCTACAACACAAGCGGCCCCTGAAAACGCGATCGCCTGCAGCTTTGCTGGAGAAGAATACTGAAGAAAGAAAAGCATTCCGGCCTACGGCTGTGAACTGGGCCACGTCCCCGCGCCACATCAGCGAGCCAGTGACCGAGCCTGTTGCATCGGCGAGGTCTGAGGACTCGCAAGACACCCTCAACTCCGCTGTCACTCCTTTACTGGAGGACATTGTCGAGGACTGCCCGGAGTTGGGACTACCCAGGCAGTTGGGAGCGGGTAGTCTCTGCGCTGTAGACTGGAATGCCAACATGCCGCAGCCTCTTGTGCGCTTTACCTCCACTAGAGTCGTTGAAGCATTGCCGCCCTCTCCACGGGCTAGTAATTCGGATGGAGAGACGCCACAGTCGGGTGGTTCTGGAAGGAGTGTTTCGGCAAGTCAAGGAAGCCCCGTAACCCATGAAGATCCGCAGTCGGTAGATCGCGAGGCACAACTACCAGCCTTGACGAAAGCTCCATCTCCACTTCCAGGAAGCAGGAGACGACTGGCTGCAGAGCCTAAAGCTCCAACTGCCAGGAGGCATACAGTTGCCACCGTTGTTGCCTCTGCACAACATAGTACGGAGGAGGATAGGCCTATNCTGCCAGGAGGCATACAGTTGCCACCGTTGTTGCCTCTGCACAACATAGTACGGAGGAGGATAGGCCTATTCGACATTCGGGGGGAAGCCTAGATGTTCCTTCGGGGCCTCCGGAAAAACGGGAAAGGCGTCTCACGGCTACGGGAGCAACGAAGTTTAAAAGCACAGCGGCGTCGATCAAGGGTGGTCGTTTTGTCGTGGCTGGGGAAGAAATAGACGGAGGGGCTAAAAGTCAAGGAATTGCCCGAATTCCGCTTCTGAAAGATATTCCTAAAGTCCGAGATGGGCGAAGAGCCACGGTACAAGTTGCGACTCCTAGGGACGGCAGTCCATTCAGCCCGAAACTGTCCGCCGGAGCAAGAAGAAAAGTTTCACCTGTTGCCACTAAGAAGCTAGGGAAAAAGGGTAGCAGAACTTTCCAGAAGTTGTCGTCTATGTCTCCCCGAGAGCTCTCCCCGCCGTCTGCAAGAGGGCGGAGGATGTCTGCGCCTCCTCCAAGGAGGGCAACGCAAGGCAAAATTGCACCTACGTTTCCTCGGGCGCGCAACATGGCTGACCGCACTTCT